CGTGTGTACGTTAATTACAGGTATAAATCATTGATGGCAATTGAACAGGTGAGTAGTTATAACAAAAACAAGGATAAGTACCGTTTTCACCATGTCCCCTCTTTTGGTCTGCAGTATGAATATGTGCCTTCGCTCCCAGGTTGTGGCTATTGTTTCCACTGTATGCCTTCGCTTCCCAGTTGAAGGTATTTAAATACATAAGTATATATATATTTTGTCCCCTTAACCCACCCGACCACATACGTTTTTAATATTTTCCTTACCACTTCTTGCTGCCATTTAAAATATACATTTTTCCATTTTGATCCCAAAATTAATTTATTTCTGTTTCGCCTCCCCATCTCTCTGCCTATTCTACCTACTCTACGAACCTATATACAACAATTCATAAAATTTATCAAAACTTTACGTTGGTTAATGTAGCAGCTGTTTATGCGCAGTGTAATAGAAAACGGTTGAGAAGTATAGGCTGTTCGTCACTTTTAAATGAAAATTCGCTTGGGTGTGAAAGAATTTGAACTTTAATGTAATAACATATATTTCATTTGCTTTTCTCTGTAAATATCATTTAAACTTTTATAAATATTTTCATTTTATCTATAAATAGACAAAAATAACGAAAATTTTTATTATTCGTTCGTACGCCTATTTAGATTTGCGTCTACAATTTCTATGAACGTTCATAGAATACAAGGTATCGACAGTTTGGAAATCATATGGTTGATGACACAATAGTTTCAAAATAGTTGGTTGCCATGTCTTCTTCTATCTTCCAGTAATCTTATATTATTAATAAAAAAAAAGGAATCAACTAATAATTTACTTTTGCATTTAAAAAACTTATGCTAAAAATTCAGAACTATCGTGAACATTAACATAACAAATATTTTTTTTTATTTGTCCCAGTGAATATATGACGTTTTAGTTTTTATGACATCAACGGTTGGCGCGGCATTGCATTCTATAAACAATATTCGCAAACAGAATGCATTAAATATGTTTATTGAGTAAAGAAGTCAGTATTTTGACTAAAGCGATTTAATTTGTTCTTTCCACGTGGCATAAGTGGCATGCGCGAAGACGTTAAGCTCAAATGCAATCAGGGGCAATGAAGTTCAATTCCTGAAATCGATTTATTTATCGGTACCTTAGCAAATGTCAATTTAATAAACTTTAATATCATGTTTTACGTTCTGAGATAATTAAATTATTTATTTACAAATATGTTCATATATGTATTAAACCTTTATTAATGGATATGTATATAAATATTTCAAAGGCAGATACGTTCATAAATACACAGTCGCACAATAAACAGACAGCAGGCGCAGTGCCATAGTTATTTAAGCGATATTTTATAATTGGAATGTTTATTAAACTTTTTAAATGTGTATAATTATACTGTTACGTAAATGAGCGCCAATGTGAATGTGTTTTTAAATATAACTGAAGCGAGATCAATTGTTTACTTGCGTTATAGAATAATTGACAAACATATATATTTTATACGCATATTTATTTTCATTCTCTGTTTGTCTAGTTGGAAGCAGAGAAAGCAGAGAACGTATAATAATTATCTGTCTGTGTACTGGAGTAAAATTGCAGTTGTGTTATAGCGCCAAAAAATATGTTTTTGTTGTTTATTTGTAGCATCATTAAGTCAGTATCAGAGAATTAAATAATGTTTATACATACATATGTATATATGGATATTGGAACAAAGTTATATAATTTTAAATGTTAATGCAATGCTTCGACATAACAAATTAATTATCTTATGCTTAAAGGTAAGGAACAACAATAAATTTGAAATGTGTGGTTATTACAATAGTATTTAGAGTGTACGTATATTACATTAAATATATACATTTATTACTTTAAAATTGAAATAACAATGTATCTACATTACTACCAAATGCTCACAAATGAAATGTCGTTTATATATACAACGATTATCATTCCATTTTCCTACTTCACGGAATCCCATTTCAACGCAAAATTCATCATCTCGCCAATTATCGGGCATGTTCGGAAGCCAATTAGTATAATTGAACTGTTCACCAGTGCTGTACCAAATAAATTCTTTACGATTTTGGTCATATTTGCCAGAAGTCCAATAGATGTAATCATTGCCAATATTTGGTTTATCAACAAAGTCTAAATTTAAGAACATAAATGCTTTACATATGTATATATAAGAATTATACGCAATATAAACTTGCTTATTTCTGTAAGGAATTGGCTTAGTTTTTCAGTACGTTCTTCCGTATTGGGAGTAAACAGTGTCATATTCATGTTGGCGCAGTATTGTAATGCATTGTCCCAAGGTAACTAGATTTATGTAAATATGTTAATAGTAACTATATATAATAATATAAATATGTGAGTTTTGGAATGGATACGAATAATTCTAAATATATGTATTTGGTTACCTTTAATTGGTCCACAATTAAAAAACGATATAAGCCCAAAACAACGGAGGTCTCTGCTACAAATAACAAATAGCGTATATGTTTACATGTAAATTAAAATTAAGACAAGCCTGACATGATCTATACCTTTGTCATATGCTGCAATAATTGCATGTAATGAGAATAAAACACTTGATTTTAAAAACATTTTGGCTGCAAATATTTTAGGAAATTTGAACGAACCTCTGAATTGGTAATGAAATGAAACGGGTGTTTTACGTGGAAGTAACTTTTCTAAAATATATATATTGTATACATTTTTACAAATAAAAACATTGATAAGAAGGTTTTTAATTTTGATAAGGTTAATATGCTTCAATGCAGCAACTTGTGAATTTGCTGATAACCAAATGTATGTATTAGTTAAGAGAATTAGTGATGCATAAAGAAACAACATTTATACAATAGTATAAACTAAAAGGAATTTTATTGGTTAAAGAATCGAGGACAGTGATAAGCTGACCCACAGTTTGCATTTATATTGTAAGGTTGTTAACGTCTATTGCAACCAATTCCAAAATAGTAATTAAATTTGGTGCATCGTTGTATTTCAGTAAAATTCAAAGTTAAATAAAACTAAAAATAGTTTACTCAAAACTAATATTATTTACTAAAATACTTACCAAGCAACTTATTTACTCACAATCGTACTTAATAAACTTATATACTATATATCATAAATGTAAAAACCACTTAGACGATTCAAAGATTTTACGAAGTCCGTCAATATGGATCATCAAAACATTTTTGGAATATTTTATTTACATATTACATACGATCATACGCTATTAAATAACATCTTTCTTGATCTCAAAAAGTGAATAAATGCTGTTACACATCAATATTTGCGTATTTTATTGACTGTTGTATCTTTATAAACATTGTGATACACGAATTTCAGTATGTGTCGAAATATTTACAAATTTTAAAAATGGCATTTAAACTGGCTCAACCAATGAATCAGTTAAACGATAGAAATGTAGATCGTTTACATCGAACTACATCATCTTGATAGAAAAACCTAATAAAAAAAAAAAGCATTTAAACATAAATATTACTTATGTATTTAATAAACATCAAAGCTCTTTTATAAGTGTTGGTTAATTCCAAATATAAGACTTAGGATCTTGACATGCATATAACTGAAATAAATTTATTATGTGATATAAGTATGATTTTCCATTTTCGACTTGTATATACTTTTATATTATTCTTTGTATGAAATTAATAAAGAATTTAAAAAAGTATATATCTTCTTGAATTCTTAAGCCATCTTCAGACTACCGACGTCGCTCGCCTTTTACAGTTTTACGCTTTTCTTTCTTTTCCTCACGCAGTTGCTTCTGACGTTCCCTGTCTTCTTTATCTTTCTGTTTTTTAGCAGCACTATCTAATCGTGCTTGCTCTCTTTTCTCTTTTTGCAATGCCATTACATCTTGAAAATTCGTATTTCGTTCGATTCCAGTTAACGAATTGGCTGCAAGAGCGACATTCGATCCTTCAGTATCCTCATCAGAACAATAAGTATCGACGTCTTCAACTTCAGTCTATTATTATTAAGCATCTTTATTATTTAACAACTTAATAGTTACTATTGTCATACCTGAGAATATTGAGCTAAAATTTGTTCCCGTATTTGTCGTTCTTCTTCAGTATACTCTCGCGTCTTTGTTGTTGCTGGAAGCTTCTGCACTTCCAATAATTTAGCCAATTGCTCACTTACATCAATGTGACCATCCGTTTTCTTTTCTTCTTTAGGATGCGCTGATTCAAATTTTTCGAGAATAAGGCTTATCAAGGAATCAATATCGTTTGTCTACATGGTTAAAAAATATATAGGAAATTCGATATATAAGTCCTTAAATTAAACTAACTTCAAGTTGTTCTTTTCCGACATACAATGATTTCACTAAGTATATCATTGAGCGCTTCACGCTTCTCATCAAGTGGCTCTTCCCCGTCAAGAATTCCTGCTATGTAGGAACCAAAAATATCAGGATCCGTATTGAGCTCGATCAGCTTTTTTTGTAGCCACGAGGTGAACTCATTGGTGGATTGCTTACTTTTCTGCATATTTTAGTTTTAAAATTTTATGAATATTAATTATTATATAAATAGATAATTATAACCATTTTTGGTATCTCTCGGTATTCACAAGTATTGCTTTTCACTTTTTTTATTTCTTATTTGACAAATAAGATATTTCTCAAATGGTAAGAAATTGTTAAAATGCAGACGTAAAAATAATAAAGGGAATATAAAAGTGATATAAAAACAGAAATGACACATGAGGAAGTGCTGCCATAGGCGATCTTTAAGGCATATGCAGATAATTAATTTAACGTTCATCATAAACTTTATTTTAGATTTTTGGGTAAAACTTAGAATAGCATCCCGGATTTCGGGGATAAAATGAATATCACTGGAAAGGTGACGTTCTCCAAATCACGATAGTTTTAAAGACATTTGCATTTAAAGTTCAAAAATTTACAACTTTTACATTGATAATTTGTATATTGTGAATAACTGAATAACTTTTTCCCTTATATTATGCTTTTTTCACTTACTAACACTTCACTATAACGTTTCCGTATATAATTTTTTTTAAGATTTGTTGTAAATAAGGCTTTATTTTAATTATTTTATTTTAGTTAAATTCTCTGCATTTGCACAATAAGAAAAGGGTTGCCATGGTTATTTTTCTTTCGCGCCGCGCTTCAACTATATATATGTTTTTTCGTGATCTCGTCACCTTTCCAGTGATACCCATTTTATTCCCGAAATCCAGGGACGCTATTCTAAATCCCAGCCAGATTTTGTCCATAGCTTTAATCATTTTAAGTAACTTTTTTTTTTATATTTTTGGTAAAAGACTTAGAAAAACTGGCTTTATAACCAATAACCATTCACAATTCTTTTAAAGGGTTTGATTTAGTTTTAGTATGTGGCATCCTTCATCGCACTGTCATAAGTAGCAATTCCTTTTATTTTCTGTCAAAAGTCTCATTATCAGTAATGACAATTGGTCTATGAAAACAAAACGTAAGTATTAAATTTACAAAGAAAGAAGAAAAGTGCAAGGTTAAATGTGAATTTAGGCTGGATTACTACAAATATGTGAAAAGGTTCCAACTGAATTGTCGATATAATGAACTAAAGGACTTCTTAAAAGTGAAATATGTGCCGTGAGTAACAAATCTGAAATGTTTTGACAAAGATTAGCTTTTATAATATTTTGTATATAAATATGTGTGTATTCCTGTACTATTCTTTTGGCGAGTAGCTCTAATTTATTAATTTGCATTTGGAATACATCAAAATGTGAATTTTTGTTTTAGCGATATACTAGCTATGGACGTATACAATAATGTAATAGGGAGTTATYTGYGAGTTGAAATCATTGTCGTKKCTTTGGCTAAAATCTGTGGTACCAAAGGTATTCTCAAAAGTTTACGTGTGTGCCTGGTATCGATATTCTTCATAACAGCATTTGAATATGATTTTACATACACAGTATACGCCAGAGCGAAATGGTATTTTAATTGGATTTAGTTTAATAATGCCTGTTGGACCATATCTTCCTTCTATTCCTAAGATAAATTTACAAAGATAAGATACCTAAGATAAAACATTACAAAAAAACTATACAGTTAATTTTCTATTATTTGCAAAGTTCGAATTTTTTAAATATAATATCATCAACAGAATGCCAATTACGAAAAAATAGGCCAAATATAATTTTCACATTCTACATCCATAAAATAAAGTACACGAATAGGTAGATTGGTATAATTATTAACAATGTTCGATATTGCGAATATCTATAATCATCTCAATATAAAGGATAAAATTATTAAACATTATAACACAAAATATACAAATATCTAAAATTTGCAAAACCAAAATAATTCGTGCTCTTTGTATTATTCTAATGTTTGGTCATTTGATTTTTATTTCCTTTCTTAGTCCAGATTGATCTAAGACTGCCCTCGCATGTTCATTTAATCATTTATTCGGTTTTTAGAAGTTGATTACAAAGAGTTAAATCAAAGAGAAAATTAAAATGTATCAGTCATAGCCCTGTCTTTGACAAACGAAATAATAATTACGTACGCAGGTATGCCTGCATACATAGGTATGTGTATATACTTTGTAAATGCATACATGTGCATACATACTTATGTATAAAGTAAAAAAAAGATGTATTTAATTGCTGCCTTCTTGCAGTTGCTTCAAATTTTAGAGCTTTACTTAAAATATTTTTTTTTTCATCATAAATGCCGGTTATTTGTTGGCAGACTATGGATAATTGTAATGCGTCAGTCACGTTCGAATGTATTTCAATATACATATATGTATATACTCTTAACAAAGGTATATGTGCTCGTATGAATATCTAAAGCAAATGACTTTCTCTTTGGCAAAATTTACTCTTTCATGCTCCAAGGTTTCACATTATTCTCCACTTTTATACTCACCCACTTTTCCTAGCTGTTTTTGTACAGTGTGTACCATACAGAATAAGAGCTCCACTGAAATATGCTCGGCAACCATCTTTAGTTCGAGTTTGTATTTCGTTTCATACGGTTGGAGCTATATAATTGTGCAGCGCATCTACGCGACAATTTTAAAGCTTATCCAACACAACAAATTTTCTTAATGAGAAGAGTGAAATAAAAAAAAGAAATCAGATCTCTCTTGTAATCAATATAAATATATTATTTCAAATTAGAAAGAAATGTTACGATATCGATGAAGTATGTTAATTTATGATGATGGTTTGTTTGTTAATAATTTTATATTACCAAGCGTGGGTTAAAAGATATAAAAGAGAATTATGTTGAAACAGTTGGCTTAAAAAAGTTGTAGATGAAATCTATCAGTGCCACGAAGAAGAAAAATACGAGCTCCAAAAAGAAAATGAAAAAGATAAGAAAGTTAAATCGACCGAATACTCAGAATGTCAATGTGATGTGGTAATAAGAAATT